CCAAGTGGTCGAGAGTAAGACTGTGCCCTGAACACGGTGAATTAGAGGCAGCCATAAACAGTTTATATGCTAACTCGTGAAATATTAACCGAAAGACGCAAGTGCGTTCTCGACTCCAAATGATTACTTAAGTAGGGTTGCAACATTAATCAACGTGCAGCATAATGCCATCATAATCCAGTTACCACAGGTTACCGGCTTTTGAATGAACCCCTTTCCGCCCGCCTTCCTACCTAAATAGCATGGCTTTTTTTCCCTTGATTCTTGATGTCTTCATAAATTTTATTATATTTCATAGAAAAGACGCATAATAGTATTCATTCTTTTACTCATTTGTTATGAGATTACATCTGCTCCAATCTTAGTTAAAAAGGCAGGGTATAATTCGATTTTCCAGTTCGACTGACCAGCCTTTTTTTGCTGAACCGACACTTTGTGTGTGTGTGTGTGTGTTGTAGGGGTTCCCAACCGTGGGTTCACGTGATGGTCGTAGTGGTCGCTCAATTGCTTGCAGGTGCAGACTACGCCTGGCGACCATTTGCTGGCACCCCTCTCTCACATATGACTCCCCGATGGTGGGCTCTGCTCAGCAGCCACACCCCGGTCACCGCCTCGACCGGCGGCCTAATCCAAGTGAGGGTATCCGTGTGCGCATCTGCACACACGGTACTGTGGTCTCCGCTGGCCGAATGGATTTTCGTTCGGCTCTGCTTGGACCACCGTAGGAGGCCACCAGGTAAGTGGATCCTCAGGTAAGTGAACGTTGCTCTGTTTCCCACCTAACTTACCTGGTGGAGTCCAATGCTGTATGCTGCTCTTTTTACCTGCTCTGTATCTGTGCTTCTCTCCGCTTATAGCTAGCTGTTATTGTGTTTGACTTCGAATGATGCCATGCTGCTTCGGTCTGTTCTATTGTGTGTATCATTTCAACTACCATCCCCCCCCTACTTCACTCCATCACATCACCATCACCACCATTGTCCCAGGTTAATTGGGGTCGTTCTCTTACTAACAAAATGTCGTGGCGCATAGTGGAGATCGGCAGCCGTCTGGGATAGTCGGGCAGCCCTATTAAGGTGTGTACTGCCTGGCTTTTCGACGGGGAAGGGACTAGAAAAGGTGTCCTATAAATTGCTGGTAACCACGCTGTCTGTAGACTGGCCGTGGTCACAGACAAAACATACACAGTCGAAACAGCTAAAACCGGAACAACAACAACAACAACAAGCACTCTCTTCCTCGTCCTGCGTATTCTCGTTCTTCCCCTCCTCCTCCACTTCGCCGCCGCAATCGTCAGACTGGCAGGGTGAGTCCGCCCATCCTGGCAGCCTGGAATTTTCGTTCTCTTGTAGACAATCTGAGGTCCAACCGACTGGAACGGAGAACGGCGCTGGTGGCTCGGCAACTAGCGCGCTACAAGGTGGAAATCGCCTTACTCAGCGAGACCCGGTTCTCTGAAAAAGACCAACTGGAGGAAGTGGGTGCCGGCTACACCGTCTTCTGGAGCGGTCGACCCAGGGCAAAGAAACCTGACGTCGGTGACGCATTCGCCATCGGGAACGACATCGTGGACGACTGCCCGTTTGCCGCAGGGCATCAGTGATCGCCTGATGAGCCTCCGTCTGCCTCTCCGGGGTGGGGGCAAATTCGCCACCATCATCAGCGCCTACGCTCCGCCGATGACTAGCCCCGACGCCGCCGCAAGAGACAAATTTTGCGAGGACCTGCACGCCCTCTTGGCGACTGTGTCGAAGGCAGACAAGTTGATTGTCCTTGGTGACTTCAACGCCCTCGTCAGCCTGCAGAGGACTGCTAGGTCCCCATGGTCTCCGCGGCTCAAAGGACAACGGCCTCCGCAGCTGCGCAGAACACCGCCTCATCCTGACGAACACGTTCTTCTGTCTGTCGGAGCGAGAGAATGCCACCTGGAGGCATCCTAGGTCGCGTCAGAGGCACCTGCTGGACTACGTCCTCGTCCGGAGGCGAGATCAGCGGGACGTGCTGGGGACAAAGGCGATCGCAGATGCTGACGGGTGGACCGACCACCGCCTCGTCATCTCGAAGATGCGCATTCGCCTACAGCCTCGCAGGAGACCACAAGGTAAGCGACCCCCAGGTAAGTTGAATATTGCCTTGTTGTCTTTGACCGCTCACCATCTCCATTTCAGCAATGAGCTAGCTCAACGGCTAGACAACATTCCTATCGCTGCCGACGCCGCCGCCGCCGCTGCCGACAAGGCCTCCGTGGAGAACCGCTGGCGTCAACTGCGAGACACGGTCCATCGACGGCGCTAGCCGTCCTCGTTCGCACACGTCGCCAACACCGGGAGTGGTTCGACGACAACGATGTCTTCATCGATTAGAAGAAGCGATCGCTGGAACAAGGGCTTTATTCGCCTAGCGTTTCGGATTCTCACTTGAATCCATCATCAGAGACAGTGGCAGAAAAGGTTGACTCGTGCACGGGAAATCGCAGTATTTATAGGATGCAGTTGCAATGCTACCGCATACCTATAGCAATTAACAGCGCTCCCCTTCATCAAGGATGTCTGCCCGCCGGTGCGCTAATTGCTTGATGGACGGCATGCGAGTTGGTATTTGCCGAAATGTCATCACCCGTGTTGGGTGTTGGTGTGATGATTGCTCAGTCATCTGGCTCGCCGGCTTGCGTGCTCCCCGAGTGGTCAATTACTTTGGCCAGCCTATGCCTCAGCACGGAATATGGAGTGGGGATGTCGTTGCACATGTTGGTAAACTGAGTTCCCTTGAACCATGACTCAAGTAACTGGCGGCTCACGCGATTATCCCCTCACGCGAGAATTTCGGCCTCATCGAACTTGAATATATGGCCGGATCTCGTTGAATGGACCGCGACCTGAGAGTTGACGTCATTTCTCCGTACCGCTGCCGCGTGTTCGGCAATTCACGTTCAGAGCAGTCTTCCAGTTTCTCCGACGTAGTTGCTGTGTCCGCAATTGCACCAGATCCGGTAAACGACTCCAGATGGTTCTTGCCGTGGCAATGGGTCTTTTGGTCTCATCACCTGACGCATCGTGGTGGCCTCCGATCTGTGTGCAACACCAACCCCAAGTGGTGCAAGAAGACAGCTAACGGCCTCGGAGACGTTCTTGATGTACGGGATCGCTCGCCAGAATTTCGGGTTGGCACCGTTTTGTCGATCGTCTCGTTTGCGCATACACCGGTTGACGAAGTTGCGCGGGTAACAATTTTCTCTGAAAACCCGTCGGCAACCTTGTCTTCCGGTTCACTGTAGTGCGTCTCAACACGCCGAATTAGCGTTCTTACGCAACTGCGTTTGTGGCTGATTGGGTGGTTACTGTTGAAGTTCAGTATTTGCATCGTGTTCGTCGCTTTCTTGAACACTTTGGTCTTTAGGCCATCACAATCTTTGCGACAGCCGAGGACATCAAGGAATGCCAGCTGGTTATTTTCTTCCTCCTCCATCGTAAATTGTATGTCCGCGAAGAAGCTGTTGAGACGTTCTTCGAACGTTAGCACCTCACCCCGTTCGATGACGACGAAGGTATCGTCCACATACCGAGCCCAGAATTTCGGTCTGCGGTGTTGGAAGACCAGCGGCGCCTCGGCGATGAATACCGAAATCGGCGAGCCCATTGGTGCGTCCTTCACTTGCTCGTAGATTGTTCCGTCAAACGTGAAATACATCCTTAGACAGAACTTTAGGAGCTGAAGAACTTGTGCATGTCCGAGATGATTCTCCATTTCACTGTATTTGCTTCGTAGGAGTAGCTCGACGATCTCGATTGCCAGATCCTGGGGATAGAAGTAAAGAGGGACGTGACATCAAAAGATACCATGACCTCATTTGGAAAGAGACTTTCTCCTTTAAGCTCCTCCAGGAATTGTGTCGACGAACAGAAGGTGGTGTCCGAATGAGCGGTCAGAAATTTGAGGCGCCGAAACAGCCATTTTGCCAGGGCGTACGCTGGAGTGCCTTTGAGCGATGCAATGGGCCGGAGAGGAACGCCCTCCTTGAGCACCTTGGGGAGACCCTAGAATCGGGCCAAGGCCGTTTCTTGGGCTCTCACCATGCGTCGATCGGTCGGTGTTATTGCACCCGAGTTCTATAGTCCCAACAGCGTCGCATTAATTTCGCGTGTCAGCGTCTTTACGGGGTTGGTTTCACAGGGGACATAAAACTGGCGATCATCCAGAAGGGTTTTGGCCTTTCTGACCGCGCTCTTCCAGGAGATGTGGCGTCAAGGTGAAGTCCCGCAAGATTTCAAGGACGCAACCATCGTGCATCTCAACAAACGAAATGGAAACCGCTAAATCTGCGACACTCACCGTGGCATCTCCTTGCTGAACATCGCCGGGAAGATCTTCGCTCGCATCTATCTCAACCGCATGATCATCCACATAAAATAGAGTGCTTTACCGGAAAGCCAATGCGGCTTTCTTCGTCATCGCGGGACCACGGATATGATATTAGTCGCCCGTCAGCTACAGGAGAATGGCCAGCAGATGCGGACCCACCTGTTCTCTACCTTCGTGGACCTGACGAAAGCCTTCGACACGGTGAATCGTGAAGGACTGTGGAAGATCATGCAGAAATTCGGCTGTCCAGAGTGATTCACTCAGATGGTTCGTCAGCTGCATGACGGTATGATGGCGCGAGTCACGGACAAGGGAGCTGTCTCAGAAGCATTCGCAGCAAGCAACGGAGTGAAGCAGGGATGCGTGCTGGCGCCTACCCTCTTCAGTCTTATGTGCTCTGTCATGTTGAAGGACGCATACCGCGACGAATGCCCCGGGATTCGCATTGTCTATAGGACGGACGGTCACCTCCTGAATCAACGACGTATGCACTTCCAATCACGCGTGTCCACAACCACCGTTCACGAACTCTTCTTTGCCGACGACTGCGCCCTTAACACAACATCGGATGAGGAGATGCAATGGAGCATGGACCTCTTCTCTGCCGCTTGCGAGAATTTCGGTCTGGTCATCAACACGCAGAAGACGGTGGTCATGCATCAACCGCCACTCAAGACAGCCATTCCTCCCAACATGCTGCCACCACCAAACAGTGTAAAGCGGACCCAATTGCAAGTGGTGGATAACTCCCAGTTCCTGGGCAGTACCCTTTCCCGCAACACCAAAATCGATGACGAAGTCACCCGCAGGATCTCGAAAGCCAGTCAAGCCTTCGGCCGCCTCCAAAGCACAGTTGGGAATCGCCATGGTCTCCAAATGAGCACGAAACTGAAGATGTACAAGGCCGTCATGCTCCCGACGCTGCTGTGTGGAGCTGAGACTTGGACAGTGTACACGAGGCAGGCACGACGACTGAATCACTTCCACCTCAGTTGTCTTCGTCGCATCCTGTGGCTTAGCTGGCAGGATCGAATCCCCACACTGATGTCCTGGAACGGATGGGAATCATCAGCATCTACACCATGCTGAGTCAAAGGCAGCTGCGTTGGAGCGGCCACCTGGTGCGCATGGACGACGAGCGGCTGCCCAAACGACTCTTCTACGGAGACGTCGCGACGGGTTCTCGCCGACAAGGAGGCCAAATTCGCCAAAACAAGGATACTCTGAAGTCCTTCCTGAAGCGTCTGCGAATAAACCCGACCAACTGGGAAGGGCTCGCACTCGACCGACCGACCTGGAGGAGGACAGTGAAAACGGGCGCTGCGATCTACGAAGCCAACCGCATCGCCGCCGCCAAAGAGAAACGCGAAGCCCGCAAATCACAGCTGCGCCCAGTACGCAACGCCGACGCACAACCGCTTCCAACGTGTCCTTGATGAATGAATATTTTAACTGACAAGCAGCTAGTCAAACACGTTGAGCGATTTCTCAACGAAATATGATATACCTCGTTTTCTGCTATAATTTGCCAACTGGCGTTCAATGAGGTTTAGGTTCACTAACATATATCTGGCACTGAGCGCACCCTGGCCCTTATACCCAATACGCATTTCGCCTTTTAAATTTGACACCCACCTTAATCCTGATGCTAATAATGACTGCAATGCAATCAAAACTGTCAGCGGTCAGTTCAGAAACCAGATGGCCTTGCAGCCGTTGATCGCCAGTATATGGGCAGATTTGGTGACTTGGTTGGACCAATCAGCGACTGACAAGCAGCTGTACTTAGTTCTGCCAGTCTTACACGAACACTAGGCACTTGGTCATGCGGCGGAGTACCCATCTCTTACAAGTGAACCTAGCGTTGTTCTTAATCCTAAATTATCTTCCTCCCGTCTGCCAGAGTTGCTTCACACGCGTCGGTAGGTTTCGTTCATTATGCGAAAACCTTGCAGTCAAGACAATTTCGGCTAACTGCTGGCATGCATTCTCATTGAAATTCATACTGTCAGTAGATGAGGTGTGTCACGAAACATTATTTAAGCTGCTGAAATTTGATCTCAGTCAGAAGATTCGCTTAGTTCGGGTTATAATATTCCTAGTTATGAATCATAATTCTAAAAGAAATAAGTCAGACCAGTATGCAAATCTCTAAACGCCTGTCCCTACGGCCGTTTGACTAAATCGCCTACATAAATACATATTAAATATATATGAAACTGTCCATAGATTTTTGATTCCCTACTAATGCCAAATACGTTTTTGGCGATCACGCAAATTAATATCAGTTACTATGCTCAAATTCCAGGGTAATACATCTTTTTTACTTAAAAATAAGAAAGCATATTTTCGGATAAAAACGACGTTTGCCATTAAGGGATGTGAAACATCGTAACACGACTATTCACAGAGCATGTTACATGTCGATTTTATAATACCGCATAGGATGTATGCGACGTGGTAAACATATCCAAATCTCGAAATTCAGTGAACTGTGTACGGTAAATTACAGATAGCACAAAGGGACGCATGATTTTTCTCAAACAGAAAGTGCACTGCTTATAAGTTGGAAAGAATTAGAGCCCAGGACGAATCAGTTCGAGTTTAAAATAAATCGAAATCAAATACGTCTTCTTTCTTGTGGAACATTTTATGAAGTCGTAATTTGCTACCAAATAAGTACCTAAAGGATACTTTCCGCAAAACATGCCTGCAGTTGTAGGAACACCGAGTTTGATTTATGCGAAAGGTCAGAACAACCTACATCTGAAAACAGGCATTCAGATGCGACTGACAATGCCTCCGGCTTACCCATTTTTCAAATCCACAATGAACAAAGATCCTAAGGCGTTTTAGATATCATGCAATATAGACGCGTAAGTTTTTTTACAGAAGAATCGCTTGCGACGGATTCTCACTCGTCTCGCCATTTTATTTTTCGTTTTTAAAGAAATTTGCCCGCGGCATAATCATGGATTTTGTCTGACAGACATTGTGCAATTCTACGTGGAGCGACTGCATACAATGACAATAACTGTGCCTTTCGACAAGTCCAGCAAGACGAGCTTTTTAATGAGTCTTCTCAGTCCGGGGTTCAGTGACGACTGCGTCTATGTAAAAACACTTCGCGAAGGCGAATTCGTACAATTTTCATGTGAAATTACATTTCCCGATGTTTCTTTGGAATTTCACAGAGAGGTAAACAACATTAGTCTTGCAATCTTTGACTTGCAAATGCCTCTCACTTACTGGTCTCCATTATCTATTAGAATTCTGCATTCCCTGCTCACATGTGCCTCGAGACAATGGGATTTTATCTACGTAATGTCAGCGCGAATGCAGACGTCAACCTGATTTTCCAGTCCGGAAAGAATTATGCTGTGCACATTGTCAAGCTTAACTTCTACAACCTCTATAGTAGACTAGCAAAGAAGGCTGCCGAAAGAAACCTCATATCCGAATGGAAAAGTTCAGTCATTTCAAACGTCCAAGCATTATCTGGCTGGGCGTATCTGCGCCACTATGCCCCCAAGTGTTATGTGTAATGACTGTCCGGCCAACTCCGGGTTTTTTAAGCACATTCTACGTCGTGAGCTTTCAATAACGTACAGAGTGAGGAAAATACACGTACCTAATTAGAATTTGACATTCTTATACATCCTATTTGTTACTTATATACTGTGGCCTTTTATGAGGGGACTTTGTTCGCGCTAATAGTCGGAACTGTAGAAATTAGGAATATTGGCACTAAAGAAAGAGTCGTCTGACAGTGTAATTTAAAATAGAAAGGATTTTCACAAATGCACATTAGAAACCCTTGTGCACTTTCAATCGATGTGCGGCTTATTAAAAAGTTAAACGGCCACGCAGATGCTTAACAGAAAATAGCGTGACATTCTGCCGTCAATATTCAATGCATTAACGAATACTCACTGTAATATGTAAAAAATAATGGGCCATCTCTGGGAATTTATTCAGAACAACGGCAATATCAATGATAACACTGTAGCCGTGACATTCCGTGACACGGAAGGCACAAAGTAAAAACTTCCAAACATTGGATGCGAACCCACATAGACAAATTATTCCTTTAGGTTCGCCAATTTGTCTGCACAGAACACATCATCCCCTCAACTGGCATGCAGCACCTTTTCTTGGTATTCGGGTTCAATCCTGGAGGTCGAAGTAGCTAGGATCTACTTATGACTTATGACAGATGGGCGCTCACCGATCAGGTTACAGAACATGCTCGTTCTGTTGTGCCTTGGGGCTCATACTAGAACCCTCGCAGGCAGTCGCACAGCGACTAGTGGTATATGTTGATAAGGTGACACCGACAAAGACTAGGGAGACCAGAATGGCCATTTCTGGCTTATTAGCCGTCATCAGCCAGTCATACCCAACCCCAAGTGTGGATCACTTGAGATTTGAACCCGGGATCTTTGGTCATGGAGTTTGACGCTCTACCATTGAGCCACGGGCCCGTTGTCCTGTCGGTTGTGATCGGGAATATCAATTATGACAGATGGGCTCTCACCGATCAGGTTACAGAACATGCTCGTTCTGTAGTGTCTTGGGGATCATACTTAAACCCTCGCAGGCAGTCGCACAGCGACTAGTAGTATACATGTATGAGATGATACCGACAAAGACAAGGGAGACCAAAGATCCCGGGTTCGAATCTCAAGTGATCCACACTTGGGGTTGGGTATGACTGGCTGATGACGGCTAATAAGCCAGAAATGGCCATTCCGGTCTCCCTTGTCTTTGTCGGTGTCACCTTATCAACTTATGACTTAAGCTGCCGCGACGGGAGCATTCAGTAAGGGCTTGGCACCATGGCTGCGTGCAACTCATCAAGACATTCAGTCACTTGCAGTCCTGAATACCCGCTCGCCCTGTATGCCAGTGTCTACCACGTAAGCCGTAGGTTTTTTTACAGAGGTCAGGGCCTTTATAGGGCACACTGACTACATCAAGGCAAACTGACAAATGACCTGCAAAGCGACCTCAGTCTTGAGGCACCGCTGCGCTCATGTCACACCAGCGAAAGCAGTTAGACGTCTGGGAGAGGTGGAGATATGTGTGCACACAAAATGCCACCTCGCCTGTCAACAGGCATCAAAAATATCAGTAAGGTTTAGGGGTAGATGGCGTTATCGTCTGACTTTGAGAGGATGCCACTGTCTACTAACCTCATTTCCCCCTAGGACGACTCTCCTTCACTCTTTTATTCGCCGCAACATGCGCCAGCGTTCAGGAACGTGTACTATTCAATTAGATTTTGATGACATTTTGCGTTTAATGGAAGTTCAGTTTGCAAAGCATTTCTCATTCATGCAGCCTTTTCCGGTTTTTCGGCTTCTTGACGTCAAGCTGGGCAAATCTACCTAGGAAACCATTCGCGTCTCTCTCTCTCTCGCTCGGTGGTGTCTACGGAGGACAGGGCTTTCGTGGGGGAAAATTAACGGTTGACAAGCAAAGCGACTTTTGATCCGGTATGATATCTCAGCTGCCACACAGCTCAAGTCGCCTAGGTGGAACAGTTAGGGACTTACAGAAGATGGTTAGAAGCATAAAATACCGCATTTTCTGCCCTTAGGCATTAATATCACCGTTAAATTTGTATTGCAAAAGTTGACTAAACCACTGGTCACTTCAATGAATTGAGAAATCTGCCGTGGTGGTGTTCGCGATAACACTGTCTGAACTGACTAATGGTGTCCATAGATTTAATTTATTTTTCCGGGAACTCTTAAAGGTCGAAATTGGCTTACGTTGATTTATTTATGGATAAATCGATTTTTCAGTGTCCCGCGTAAGGCCTACAATTGACAAGATGGCAGAATGCCAAAAGCAATCAAATCGTTTGTCTCCAACATATTCCTTTGACCTTTACTCGCTGAAGCTGCTCGTTGAGAACTATAAGGGGGGAAAGGAAGCGCAGACTATGGTGTTTCGCCAGACAGCAGGCTCCTAAGACTTCCTTCACGCAAACTAAAATGCCCTGCGTGCAGACAGTCGTGGAAGATTTTCCGAAGTTTTCTACGGACTGGTAAGGATGGGTTGTATAACCCCACTAGTAAGCCTTGCTGAGTTTGTCGACTCATGGCTACGAAAGGTCATCCTTTGAGTTTTGCCTAGCACACTGATATATCCACGTGAACCCAGTTGTCGCAGTGTGGTTTTGTTTAGTGATACATTATCTAGCATGAGGAAGCTTTCGACCCTCGCTCCCCCATCTCCATAATCCGCTTCTCTCAAAAGGGTTGCTACGCATCCTTGTGTCATGTCGGCTCTCACCATACAACTTGTGTTGTAAGGATTGTAGACTGCGTTTTGGTTTACCTAGCCTCAGTTAGGGCACAACCCCCAGCTTCCAATATATCTCCGAACGATGTCTGTTGTCGGGCGTGTATGATATAACTTATTTACT